TTGCTTACAAGTGAATTAAGAATACACTGGGTTTGCCATATTGCCAAATAATTTTGGTCAAACCATTTCTGTTTCAGTCATAGTTCTAATTCATATGTAAAAATAAGTGGATGCACTTTATTATGAGTGTTTCCCCATAATTTGAAAAGAATTCACATGGATTAGGCAGCAATGTCAGCTGAGAGAAAGCAGTAGAAAAATGAGGGAGAGAGGCAACTAGTCTGCAGGGATAGAGAGTTGTATTGCTTCGTTTTGGATCTAGGAGTAGAAAGAGCCTCGTTGTGCAGATAGGAATAATAGCTAGAAAATCATAATGAATTATAGGCCCCTAAAATTAGAATGAGAAGGGAGTTTGGAACTACATTACTTTAAGATATGCATTGTAGTTGGCAACCTTTCCACATTATACTCCTCTTTGGTGTTTTCGGACCTGTGTTACCATGTCCCAACTTCATTTGAAATCACAACCATTTGTTGACATGTTGGCAAATTGATGACAGCTTTACTCTTGTAAATAACATGGAGGAAGTAGGGAATGCAGTAAATTCCAAATTATTACCTATGTAACATTTCTGTATTTTTAATTTTTGATTTTTATTTTTACATGAGGAGTTATTTCAAATCTGAATTCAGATAGCCAGTACAGTAACATTCCAAAGACATGTCTTGTTATTGCTTCTCTTAATTTATCCGTAGGAAGCTAATATTTTCTTATGTTATTTAACTTCTTGTGGGAAATTTAAATATCTACAGAATATGTTAAAAAAGCTCTAAATACTGTTTGACTGAGTTAAAAGATTTCTGTTAGGGCTTCATCTTGACTGTGGATGGAGGATATTGGAAGGAAAAAGAAAAGCAAGCTTAAAAGAAGGTTGAAAGAAATCTGGAAGAAAAATTGTAAAGGAAGTTTAAAACAGAGATTGCTCAAGAATGTTTCTGATTTTCTCTTTCCATTAACTTACAAAATAAAGATGAAAATAATCTTAAAGGGAGCTATTATTTTACCAAATGCTCCATACAAAATCTCTGAAATCCTTACAAAACTCCTGTTTGTCCTTATCAAGCCAACAATTCCAGAGGTTTTTTACTATACTGAATTTTAATACCTTGGAGAAAGACATTAAGTGAGTGGATACACAGTTAGATATAATGTTTCTAGAAGATCAAATCCAATTTTTGGATAATCATATCAAAGACATAGTATTATGTAATCATTTGTGTGAAATGAGATGGAAAATTAAATTGGTTATGTAGCTCAAACACTACCTTCTAAAACTCAGGTTTGCCTTATAGTTTACTTGATTATTTTAAATAAGATTTTTAAGGAAGACCAATGATATCATTACTGTCAAACTTCTTCTATCCCTTAAGTTCTCTCAAATAGTTTACTTTCTTCATCTAGCAGGCAGATTAGCCACAAATCTTATTTTACTATTGTCAACCTAGAACCTTTATCTAATTTTTCATTATCTCAGCAGACTTGCCTCTCACTGTGAGCTGCTTCGTAGGAAAACATTTTCTTCTGGACAAATTAACTGTGACACTGCCATTGGTTTCCTCCCATCTTGTACAACAGTTATATGTACCGATAAAGCAACAATTATTAACAGTATATTGTTTTTCACCTAGCGAGCTTTTAGTATACTTTAGGAGCCTGGAAGTTTCATGAAACAGATTTTACTCATTGTGCTACAGTTGCTTTTGTTGTGTAATCATATATTATATATCAATTTTTATTAGTTGGCCTATTTACTGTAAGTTCAGAGGCTGTGTCTGCACAACTTACAAACTACTATTAAAGAAGTTCATAATAATTATTGTGAGATTTCTTCTTAAAATCCGTATTTGCAGCATTGTTCTCAGATGTGGACAAGTTGTGCCAAGAATTTGAGGTTTAATCAGCATTTTTTGTGGGTGGATATAAAAAACAAAAGAATTTTGTAGGCGTAAACAGAAAAATCACATTTTTCTCTGAACAGCTGTATAATAGCCACTTCTAAAAGCTAAATAGTAAACACAGAAGGAAAGACTTTCACACTATAGAATGTTAGGCAAAATATTTCTGGCTTCCATATTGTGGGAGTTATTATAGAGCAAAAAATACTAAGTAAAAACTGTCTATATGCTTGGACAGCTGACACTTCAGGGAATAAGTTAGAAATCAGAATCCTTTTCAGAACCATGCCGATTGTCAATCATTTATGGCTTTGGAATTAATTGAGAAGGGAATAGTACACACTAATGCTTTACGATTTACAGCTTCACATACTTATATTTTGTAAAGGTTTTTTGCATAATAAAGCCTTTGTGCCATGTGTAAAAATCAGAGTTGTTTTTAAACCCTGAAATCATACTCACCTTAAAGTTGATATATCATTCTTATGTATATGCAATGTGTAACCATAATACAGAGTTGATAGATAAAGGTCATATCTTTTTTTGACTAATTGTTATCACTGAAGAACATTGACAAGCTTATAAACACAGAAGCTTTCTTTATATCTGAAACAGAAAAAGCATGTTTCAAGGGCAAAGAACGGATGAAAAAAATTGCTTAGAGTATCAGAAATATCACATCTTTGAGAAGAAAGATAACTGGTAGGATACAGTTAGAGGAGATATTAGTGAAGAGTGGAAGAAAATAAATGAGACATTCGACTATATGTGTTTGCAACAAAACAGTTGCAAATCCTGATTCAGTAATCTAATGTGGATGTGTATTAAAGATATTTTTTTCATGGAAATAGTTTGTAATTTTGAAAGAGTTTTCATACAGAGAAAGGTTTCCAAATAAGGAATACATTCTAACCCTCTCCCCACCCCCTCCAAACACGTAGTGTGACAATGGTGTTTTGGCTTGTGAAACACTCCCCAGTTTAAAAAAAAAAAAGCCCACACATTACTAATTGAATCTCTCTCTTTCACATCTAAAACTTTCCTGACACAAGTAGGTTTTGGGTTTGATTTTCTGAAATCAAATGTTTTGTTATTGAACATTTAATTACAAAAAATCTAACAAGATTATAAACTACAAATTAAACATTAAAAAGAAACGTGTTAAAGGAATTTTTATTGTCCTGTTGACAGAGAACAGGAAAAAAATTGCTTCTTCTTGGTCCTGCTTTTGGTCAATGATTTTTTGACCACCTGGTCACTTCTTACCTCAGCTTTCTTGCTGTATTGAGGATTTGGCCTCTGATTTAGGCTTGACACCAGAAGTTTGTAGTTGCTATATTGCTGTTTTCTGTTCTCAGTGACTTTTGGGGCAGACTTCTTTTACCATGTCACAAGTATTGCCAGTAGCAATGCTGAATGCCCTCAGGAAATACAAAACCTGTCAATTTAGGAATTTAAAAGTCTTTTAATTCATGTTTTGTTAAGTTCTTCATATATGGTTGCTTGGTATAGTTATTTTTGAACTTCTCATAAGTTGACCCTAGGATATTCAAAGAATCATAGGGTCAGTAAGGTTGGAAAAGACCAGGAAGTCCAACTGTCAACCCAGCATCACCACCATGTTCAGTATTAAACCATGTCCTCAAGTGCTACAGCCACAAGTTTTTTGAGCACGTCCAGGGATGGAGACACCACCACTTCCTTGGGCAGTCTATTTCAATGCTTTACAACCCTTTCTGTGAAGAAATTTTTCCTAATATCTAATCTAAACCTCTTGTGGAGCAACCTGGGGCCATACTTACTTTCAAGTATCTGTTCCAATTTTATTTTCATTTATCATGGATGGATCCATTTCAACATGAAAGACTGAAGCAGTCAAATCAGTAGCTAAGATATGCAAGACCAGGATTCAGATCTACTCAGAGTCAAGCAGGGAGCAAAATGTATCATGGTTATAAAGAGAGACTTTCTATCTGCTGCTTGCTGACTGTGGGATTTACCCAAGAAGCGTAAAACCTAAGTTCAGTTCTTGGCTGCTTTAGATCAGACTTCCACAATTCAAGTGAGAAGGCAATTTCTGCCCTGAAATCAATGGATGGGTATTTGTTTGCTTAACCAGATAAATTTTATTTAGGATATTTGGAGGTTCAGCTTGGTGTATATGACAAAGCTTGTTAGTATCCATCTATCTGGATACTACCTAATCTCACTGGAAAAATAGAGCAGCAGCTAAGCATTGTTTTAAAGATAGAAGTGGATTCTTAAAGAGATGGATTGGTCTCCAAGTGATTTTGAGGATCATATTCTGTTCAGAGAAAGTGCATTGCTGTTGAGTCACTTCTTATCTGTATTCAGAGCTCTGACAGGCCATAAAAAAACTGCTGACTCTCTCTGCCTAACCTGAGTGTATGTGGAACAGTGTTGATGGGTAAAAGAAGGAAAAGGGAAGAAAACCAGAGTGCAAAATCCTGCACAAAGTCCACAACTTGTTAAGATTAGCACACTTTGTATTTTAGGATTAGAGGGAGGTTCCTATTAAAAATAGGTACCAGATTTCTCTCTCTCTACCTTTTTTTTCACAGTAGGTAATAATGGAATTTCTTTATAATTCTGCTCCTGACATTAATAGAAAATAAATTAGGCCAATATTCTAGAAAGTTGATAATTCTGTACAAATATTGATATTTGTGCTGTGCTGGATATTTGTTGCTTACAGGATTCTTCCTCTTGCTAGTTGTTTTGAGTGTCCAAATGAAGATATAAGATTTTTCTGAAGTAGACAGAGTATTGTTCTTAACATGACTGGTTTGATTCCTGTGGGTAACTTGCAAAGTAAGGTACAGAATCTGGTATTGACTTATCCAAAAGTGAAAATATATGTGAGTATATTAATTTTTGTTCCTTCCCTTAGGTCTAATATATCTGTATTTTAATATCTGGTCATAAACCATAGTTGAGACTCAATGATATTCTTCAGTGATAAAAAATGAATTATTATTTACTAAACATGTCTGTGTAGAAGGCATGAATTATCTGTTGGCCTGATCACATTGTATTAGTACTGAAAAAATGCATTTTTTTGTTTGTTTATTATGTATTTTCAGGTAGAGATTGAAAATCTGGACTATCATTACTTTCTGCCTTTGTTCTTTGATGGGCTTTGTGAAACGAAATTTCCATATGAGTTTTTTGCTCGTCAAGGAATCCATGACATGCTGGAACATGGTGGAAACAAGATTCTTCCTGTCGTTCCTCAGCTCATTATCCCAATAAAAAGTAGGTGAACATGTAGGAAAAAAATCCCTGAAATTGTAATTATGTGGTGTAGATTTTTGAAAAATTGCTAATTAAACTGTAAGACATGACAGCCTGTATATTTCATGAAGATTATTGCAAATGTGAGTAAATTTTAAGATATAAGGCCAGAAGGCTTATGCCTTCAATTACTGCCCATGATATCTGCAGTAATCCAGAAGAATAGGCTGTCTGGTTAGTGGGTTTCTTTATTACAGGCGGCTCTTGGTCTTTGGAAATGTGATGTTTTCTTAGCTGATTTTGTATATTTATGATGTAGATCCATTCATGGCTAGGCTTCGCGAACGAAGATTTGGGAAGGCTCTATCCACATTTGCTGCAGGCACGCTGGTGGCTTATGAGGCCAATACGTGACAGACAAATCCGATTGCAAAAGGCACAGCAGAAAGACTCCTTAGATGGTGTATTCTGCAATACACGGTTCTTTCTGCGTTGCCTTTTTTCCTCGAGGGTGATCCTGCGTGTGTTCTCAAAGGAGACAGCTGCGTTATAGATGGTGTGTCTCCAGGCCTCCCGATTTGAGGCCAGAGTAGACCAGTTATGGTGATCAATATGGCCAAGGCTGAGATGTTGTTTCAGGGAGTCCTTGTATCTTTTCTTCGGGGCTCCTCTCATGCGGCAGCCAGTGGCAAGTTCACCGTAAAGCAAGATCTTAGGGAGGCGGTGGTCCTTCATCCTGGAGACATGACCTGCCCAACGCAGCTGTGTTCTCATCAGCATGGCCTCGATACTTGTGATAGCTGCTTGCTCTAGAACAGATGTATTGGTCACATAGTCTGACCAGTGGATGTTTAGAATTGTACGGAGGCAGCGTTTAACATCCTGCTTTGCAGATGCTGCTGAGCTCTTTGGTCTGGAGGTCAGCTTAAAGAAGACAGAGGTCCTCCATCAGCCTGCACCTCAGGATGTCCCCCATCATCCCCACATCACCATTGGTCAATCAGAGCTCAAATCAGTCCAACAGTTTAATTACCTCGGTAGCCTCATCTCCTCAGATGGTAAGATTGACGGAGAGATAGACAACAGGTTAGCAAAGGCATATAGTGCTTTTGGAAAACTCCATAAAAGAGTATGGCGTAATAAACACTTGAAGAAAAGCACCAAGATCAGTGTTTACAAAGCCATAGTGTTGTCTACTCTCTTATACGGATCTGAATCATGGGTCATCTACCGCCACCACCTGCGTCTCTTAGAACGCTTCCATCAACGCTGCCTCCGTACAATTCTAGATCCATTACTGTATAGACCAATTCATCTAAACTGACAGGAGTAATTAAGAGATGGCATTTTAAAAATATTAATTTTGAAGGTTTAATATATTCATACCTGTTTTCTGTAGAATTATGTGAAAGGTAATAAATTATTTTAATACGACTGAAACTCCAAGTGTAGTACCACCAAAGCTTTATTTTTTTGAAGCACCTAGTCTTTCATATATATTGGTTTGTCCTTTCTTCTTTCTTTATATCAGTGCCTTGAAGAGATATTATTCTGAGCCATCATCCTGCTTTAGTTAGGTATTTTGATTCTTAAGCCTGCACACTACACCTATACAAATAGATGCTCATATTTGTTTAACTTGGCTTCTGTTTTATCGTTAATCATTAATGGTATCATTGCTGTGCTTTGTCCTGTTTCTCTGAGAGGCTTCAGCATCCATTCTAATACAGAGCAAAACAGAGTAATTGCATTTGTGATACAGAATGAATAGAGTCAAGTACAGTTTTGAAAAAGAGGAAGTGAATGCAGCTTGGAACCTGATAATACTGAAATAATAGTGTTGGAAGGGGTCAGAATTGTGGAGTTATTTAATTCAGTTTTTTCTCAAAAAAAGATTAATTATAGATGTCATTATCTCATCTACTGTAGATTTTAAAAATGTCAAAATGAATATATAATATTCAGAATGGTTACTCTGCAACACTTGAGAAAGGTTAAGAAAACAACGTTACTGGTTTTTATCTCTAAAAGGGGAACATGTAAAGAGAAGAATCATGTCATTTCTTTAGAACTGCATTTTCAACACCATGCAAATATATTTATAGTGGTATCAATTTTTTGGAAAGTTGAAATAATTTCTTCAGAAAAGACTGCAAGTTTATGACAGCGACTATTCCATTAGGATTTAAAAGTCTTGCTGAGACCAGCATCTAGCTTAGAAGTAGTTACCTGGAAGCTTTAGGTGTTGCACAGCATTTAGCATTAGAAAGAGACCGCTAGGTAAGGGTATTTGTATGGGTTTGATATATAGTCTTTTAAATCAAGTCATAATATATGGTGCTAGAACATATCGAAGAATCTACTAGCTAAATTTAGTTGTTAGTTCTGCTTTCTTTTATTCTCAAGTGCTTATTTTTTAATTTTAAAAAGGCTTCTGTATGAGCTTTAATGTATGAAGAGTCTAAGTATTATCAATGATAAAGGCTTCTTCCTAGTTAAAGCCATATTAATATTAAAAAAGACACCACCAATCCCAAGAATCTGAAATTGCATACTTTTAAGGGTTTTTAAGGTTGCTATGACTGTGTAATACAGCAGTGTCGTCATAGCTATGCATTTCTGTGACTCGGCTGCATCCACAATAAACTCAGATATGTTTTACACAGATTACTCTCTCTAAAGTGTCCCACTGGGTGAGTTATGTCTGATTAACCAGTCTTCTTGTAGACCATATTTCTACTGTGAAAGAGTGAATCAATTTATTGTTAGTCAGGGTAATATATATGATGAAGGAGATAAGGTTATAAGAAAGGCAGAATAACAACTTTAAAGATAGAATACTTTTAAAAAGCAGTTTTCTCTCCTGCATGTTTATCAAATGAAAATATTAGTAAAGAACTGTTCTCTAAAAACATTTTAAATTAAATGTTAGGATTCTGTATTGTATTTTAATGATTTAAGGAGAAATCTATCCCCACCTATCCTTGCTTAAATTTAGCACTTTTTGAACACTGTATGATTAGAGATAAAAATTATATTATTTAATCAATCTGTGTGTTATTGGAAGCCCAAGTTCTTTCAACAAATTTTCTTCTGGTAATAGAAACAGGCAGTGATGAAGAAAACCCCATACACTTGAAATTAACAGGCCTGGTTTCTCTTCTAAAATACTTGAAATATTATTAAAATAATAAAGAAGAATTATATTTAGTTGAAAAATATTTGCTTTTTTTTGTTTTGTGTTTGACACACACTCTTTTTTATTTGAAATTCAGAGGAAGAAAAAAGCCCTCAGGTTGGAGGCATTAGTTTCTCAAAGAGAAAAATATTAAAAATATATTTTTATTTCTCAAAATAAAAATTCAAAATATATTGTACCTTGCACTGGGAAAACATGATAAAATAGTTTATAAATATAGTCATTGCATGACATAAAACACAGGAAAAACAAATTCCCTGTATTTGTCAAACTTGTAAAGAATCCAACTAACAATAAACAAAATGCAAAATCAGAAAATGGAATTAATTAAGGTATAAGGCTTTTTACTCCCTTTCACAGAAGATATAGGCAAATCCATTTTCCGAGTTATTTAAACCTGAGCAAAGATTCATAAATTGAGATATATAGCCAATAGCAAAGTACTTTGGAGCAGTATCATGAAAGTTCTGACGCACAAGACACAGCCAAATGTCTTCTTTGCCAGAAACATCCATGTTGTTACTTTCAGATTGCAGACAGATAAAAAGGCAGAAGAAGGAGACTAATTTTGCCCCATATCAAAAACTGGATTTGTGGAGGAGAACCAAACAGAACCACTGGGGTGGCAAGCAAAGATGCCTGTAGGTTATGTGAGAATTCCTTTATTTTTAGGGAGCAGAGGGATCTGTCTAGCCCTGTCATGTCTTTCAGTAATGTACTGATTTATCTTAGAATTCATGTGTGGCCTAACATTAACTAACCAAGAAAACATCCAGGAAGGTGCCTATTGTACCGTGTACTTGCCAATGGAATACTCCTAAATTCTGTGGACATTATGGGAATGTGAAATTAATTTTGATACTCATTTGGAGGGCAAATTACTGCTTTTAATATTACATGTGCCATAGCAAATGCCAAATCAGAAAAGCTCTAAGTCCCTTCTCTTGGTTTCATTAGTCTTCTGCAACTCTCAGATTCCTGACTGCATAGTTCCCCAGCATTCTCTCCATGAAACACACATGCAGACATAAACACTGAAGGCACCAGAAGTTTCTACACCTTTGTCTAATATTTCTATGAGTAACATCAGGGACATGCAACGCAGTGTGTGGAAGCACCTCCTCTCCTTTCAGAGGCAGCGAGCATGCTACCATTCACATTTGCTTTGCTGGCAGTGTAGTTATAGGAGTTTTCAACCCCTTCATGCACAAAGTCACCAATTGTTCCAGCTCCCACACTCTGACTTTTGCTAATGCATTTTTTTGTGGAGCAACTCAGTGAATCTCACATCTAGATGTATCAATAAAAAGGAAAAAAAAATCCAAATCTGAAATAAACCCAAAATATTTTCAGAGTGGCATTACTTTGAAACTCAGATCATTTCAATGGTCTAGTTTATAAATGCACTGTCACAAATGAAGTAATAGCACACAACAGGACAGAAGCTGGAGTGAGTGAGTAGAAATGATCAATAGGAACATCTTGATATAGCTTTGCTAAAGTAGTAAATAATGTGAAATTAAACACTTAAGCATCTTGAATCACCCATTTGCCAGAATCTTTTCTATTTTACACTGTGAATCCTAAAATGGATGTGTAGGCAATCTGAATTTAGGCCCAAAAGCCAATAAAGCTCACATCTCTGCACTTAAATTGTAACTTAGATGGAAGTATTGTTTCTACACAGTTGCATTCAGCAGATGAGCTCTTCTGATTGAGTCCAAAAAAGAAAAATCTCCATCCTAAGGAACACTGAAGTTGTACTTTTTGAGGCTTTTTTCCATGCTATTAAAAATCCCTTCTGTGACGCAGTAGATCAAGA